ATATGCCCAGGCAGGGGCACTGACTTCAAAGTGCACTGAATGGCTGGAAGAGGGGCTGCCAACTCCTGAAACCCTGACTCCTTATGCAGAGAATCTAGAGGAGAAAACAAAGAAATATGATCGGGGAACTTACCCTTCCACAAGTAAGTCCAAGTCTCATTAAACTGTCTCCAGCAGGCCTAAGCCTTACTCCTACCATTGCTTTATATCACACTGGATCTGCCAGGGCAACACAGGCTCTTCAGAGTGCCTACAGCTGAACTGCCAACACCTTCTGAAGCCCACGACCCACTTGTGCCCGCTGAACCCTCTGAGTAAGGCTAGGCCAGCCCCTCTGCCTGTGCTACAGTCACTCAGAAGATCTGAGCCATTCTCCAGTAATAAGGACATCTGGAGAACAAGAGACACGTGGGCACCCAACTCCAGCTACAACACTTATGGTCTGTGTGTGACCTTGAACGAGTGACATAGCCAGTCCTCAGCTGCCTCATCTGCAAAATGGTGCTACTAAATGGTACCCACCCAGAGGGTGGCTGGGAGAACAGATATCGTGACTATAACGCATTTAATAGCATGCCTGGCCCACGGTGAATACCAATTATGAATAATACTATAAGTACACTTCCCTGCTAAGAACCAAACTCCACCCCCCACTAAGTCAAAAAGAATTATAAAGGGGTTCAAACTTAGGCTGTGAGAGAACCAATCACGACTTGTTCCTCAGTGCAAAATAACTTATTTACTGGCCACCCCAAAGATGCAGACAGAGTGACCACATTCTGTGGCAAATCCTAACACTGTTTTGGCCATGTTCTGAGTTTCAAGTCAATGGAATGTTTACTGAGCACCTACTACGTACTAGGCTAAACAGTGGAGTGGTTAAGTGTCCTAGGAATTAAGACAACAGTTTGGATCTTAGCCCAGCCACTTATTAGCTGTATAACCACTCGGTTACTTAGCCTCTCACTTTTCTCATCTGCAACAGAGGGCTGATAATACTACTTACCTCTCAGGGTTGTTGTGAGAGTCAGAAGATGTTGCATTTCAAATGCTTTGCATAGTGCCTGGCACATAATAAGTGCACCATAAATATAAGAGATTAAATGATAGTTTTATTACACTACTAAATTAAAAGAAAAGTGGTCAGCCAGGTGCCGTGGCTCTTATCTGTAATCCCAGCACTTTGAGAGGCCAAGGCAGGAGGATCACTTGAGCCCAGGAATTTGAGACCAGCCTGAGCAACACGGCAAGACCCTGTCTCTACCAAAAATTTTAAAAATAAATAGTTGGATGTGATGTGCTGGTACACACCTGTAGTCCCAGCTATTTGTGAGGCTGAGGCAAGAGGAATACTTGAGGCCAGAAGTTCAAGGCTGCAGTGAGCTATGATCACACCACTGCACTCCAGCCTGGTGACAGAGCAAGACCCTATCTCTACAAAAAATTATGAAATTTTAAAAAAAGGCTGGTCCGAGTGCAGTGGTGTTTACAACTAATTGATCACAACCAGTTACAGATTTCTTTGTTCGTTCTCCACTCCCACTGCTTCACTTGACTTTAAAAAAAGAGAGAGAGAAAAGTGGTCACTATTACAATGATTTTAGAGCCATGAGGATTCTTAACAGTCTGGATGGAGCTCTCTTCTCATTGTGTGGATGGGAAAACTGAGCCCCAAAGACGAAAGTGATCTATATGCATAGCTGTGATGGAGAAGGAGTAAGAACCAAAAAGAAGGGACTAAGGGAGGGGCAGGGAAAAGCAGAGAGAATTAACCTGGATTCTCTATTTTGGCCTCAACTTCCAACCTCCCCTCTCTCACAAGTTCCTAAATGTGACTCTGCCATGAGTAGGGTGGCCACCTCCTCTCCCTCACACATGCTCAAAATAGTGCCCCTGCCAGGATGTTCATCATATTCCTTCTCTGAACATTTATCGATCACCAACTAGATGGCTGGCACTACCCTGGCCACCAGGATACAGGCGAAATTCCACACCCTCCCTCTTATTGAACTTTCGCTGGAGTTAACCTCAACTGACAACTCCTTATATGCTGCACAAATGATTAGAGTCTTTGCTCCTTCATAGGCTCCCACAAAGCCTACACGAGCCATACAACTATCAGACTTTAATAAATATTATGATTGATTAGTAAGTAGGTGGATGAAAGAGAAGAAATTGAGGCTACTGATTATACTCCAGCAGTATGTCTATTTTTTAAGAATGGTTTGACATTCAGATAGGCAAGGCAGCACTGCCTACTTAATTCCCTTAGAAAGTCACCTCCCTTGGCCTGCAGCATTTAGCAGGCTCTGACTCATTCCAGTTGCTCTGCCACTTTTATTTTATTTTTTGGAGACGGAGTCTCGCTCTGTCGCCCAGGCTGGAATGCACTGGCACAATCTCCACTCACTGCAACCTCCACCTCCCAGGTTCAAGCAATTCTGCCTCCGCCTCCTGAGTAGCTGGGACTACGGGTATAGGCCACCACACCTGGCTAATTTCCGTATTTTTAGTAGAGACGTGGTTTCACCATGTTGGCCAGGCTGGTCTCAAACTCCTGACCTCAGATGATCCGCCCGCCTCGGCCTCCCAAACTGCTGAGATTAGAGGCATGAGCCACCATACCCAGCATGCTCTGCCAGTTTTAAGAGGAAATTCCTATTCCCGCACACTCAACAAAAGTAGAAACTTGTCAAGACAGACAGTATGCTGGGAAAAGGAGGCACAGGCTCGGGAATCAGAAGTGGAGGGATTTTTTTTTGTTTCAGTCTTGCATGCAACTTTCATTGAGCAATGACATCATGGAGGGTGAATGAGATCAAAGGGGCCATACTTGGTCTGAAAAAAAAAAACACAGAAGGGTGGAAGCTAAGGACCTTCGCCTTGAGAGTTGGGTCCTTCCACACCTGAAATGGACCCCTGTGGACCCTGAACGAACAGGGCAGTGGCCTAGACATTCTCATGTGTCTGCCACTCACCAGCTGGGAACTTTGTCAACTCACTCCTCTCTCTAAACCTCAATATTCTGGTCTGGAAAATGCAATCAAAACCGTTAGCCTATCTCCCTCCCAACGTGGCTATAAGAATTAGATACTATGTGAGTAAGCACTCTAAACACCATATAAATGTGGCTATCGGTATTATTCACCAGTATGATCTAGCGTTTTTGGCCTTTCCCTTCCCCTAAAGCTGAAGTAGGGCTGGGCTCGGTGGCTCACCCCTGTAATCCCAGCACTTTGGAAGGCCCAGGAGAGCAGATCACTTGAGCTAAGGAGTTCGAGACCAGCCTGGCCAACATGGTGAACCCTCGTCTGTACTAATAATTAAAAAAATTAGCCGAGCGTGGTGGCGCATCCCTGTAATCCCAGCTACTCGGGAGGCTGAGGCAGGAGAATCGCTGGACCCCGGGAGGCAGAGGTTGCAGGGTGCCAAGATCAAGCCACTGCACTCCAGCCTAAGCGACAGAACAAGACTTCCTCTCAAAAAAAAAAAAAAAAAAAAAAAAAGCTATAGTAGGACTACTTCAAAGGCCCACCTGGGCAGGCCAGTCCAATACAGGACAAGGGACCTAAAGATCAAATTTCATTTGATCCCACAAATGCATAAGAAAGCCAGCTCCAAGTCTATTAAAAACCCGCTCAGATGTCTCCCACTGGCAGAGCTGAGGTGGGGCCTTGCCTGAGGCTTCCAGGGATGCACTGGCTTCCTTTCCAACCTCCTTTTCAGACAACTCTGTCCATTCAGCGGTTCCTAATCCAAAAAGAATGGGCTCCCCGAAGCCTACCGGCTTCCTTACAGGTCACCGCTAATGCCCTGTGACAGGCCCTTGGCCCACCCTGCCAGGCCAGCCTGGCCATCCTCGCAGCGGCCCATCCCTCGGGGCCGATTCCTCCGCAGCCATTAACAAAGGGGGTCTGGGGACTGTCTCGGAATGAGGGGACCGGATAAAGGGGGGTGTCCAGGCCAGGACCCGCCAAGGAGGAGCGGCCGGCTCCTGCCTCGGGGCCTGGGCAGGCAGGAATAGGAACTGGCCGGAGAGCACGAGGGGGCCCGGCCGCGGGTCCGGAGGCCGCAGTCGGTGGGGACAGTTGGGGGGTCGGGGATACCCACCTTCTGTTCGACGCCCTGCAAGCCCTGGCCCAGCTCCTCCCTCTGGCGGGAGAAGTCTTGGTGGCTGCGCCGGACCTGCTGGACCTCCTCCAGGACGTGGTGGACGCACCAGCCCAAGAAGGCGGCCGCCGCCACCAGGGCGAGGTAGAAGAGAAAGTTGAGCGCCCTGCCGAGCCTGCGCGAGCAGGACGCCGAGGACGAGGCGGCGGCAGCGGCGGCGGAGGACTTGCCGCCGCCGCCGCCGCCGCCACCGCCGCGGTGGCTGCCCTTGCCGTGCGCCTGGTTCTGCGGGTGCTGCTGCGGATGCGACGCGGGAGGCGGCGGCTGCTGCTGCGGCGCCGGCGGCGGCTTCTTCGCCACGTCATCCACGCCGCCCGACGGGTGGGCACCCTTCTCCGAGGGGCTCGCGGCGCCGTGGCCGCCCTTGGAGCCCCTTTGTTTGGCCGAGGGCATGGCGGGCGCGGCAGCGGCTCGGGCCGCGGGCAGGGAAGCGAGCGAGCGCAGCGCGCGGCCCGGGAAACTTGCTGGGGCTCCCCCGGGACTGGGCGAGCGGCACGCGGGCGCTGCTGGCGTCGGAGCGGCCGAGAGGACGCGCGGCGGGGAAGGAGGCCGGGCCGAGGAGGAGGGAGGAGGGGGCCTGCCTCCGCCGCGGCGCCGACCCCGCCTCCCGGGAAGGGAGGCCGAGCGAGCCGAGCAGGGACAGTCTGCCACGCACGCCGGCCCGGCGGCCCCTCCTCCCCGCCGCCACGACCCCGCAGAGGGAGGGCCGGGCGGGGTCTACGGGGGCCGGGAAGCTGGCGCGGGGGCGGTGGGACAAGGGGCGGGGGCTCGGCGGGGTCTACGGAGGCCGCGGCGGGCGCCGATGTGGCCGCGAGGGGAGGTGAGGGGAGGCGGCCGAGGTGGGGTGGGCGGCCGGTAGGGTTCCTTGGAGGCCGGGGGCGGAGGGCCGAGTCGACCCGAGCCGGGGCGGGCGGCCGAACAGGGTCGATGGGGGCTGAGATTGAGCGGCCAGGCGGGATCTGAGGGACGGAAGCCGGGGTGACCCTACGCCGCGGGCCAAGCGCGACTCTCTCCCTCTCGACCTGTGCGGAGAGGAAAAACATGAAGGCGGGCGCCCAAGGAGCCCTGGCCCGGGGAGTAGGAGTCGGGGTGGAAACGGATCCCCCTTTCTGTCCGCTGGGAATTGAGGGAATCCCCCCGCTTTCACCCTCCCAGCCCGCCACGGGGTTGGGCTTTGTCCCTTGTCTTGGGTTTGAAGGCGGAGGCACAAAGGGCTGTCCACAAACCAACCAGCTTCGGAGGCATAAATTTGATGCGAGTTAACAAAGATTCTCGACTGCGGTGAGTCTGTTCAAGGGGATGCTTTCACTGAGCGTCCCCATTAGCCAAGTTAGCCTGCTGTGGACAGCTCTTTACTTTTACCCGAAGCTCCTTTGGCTCTGTTTTCTCTTTGGGGGGTCATGAAGTTTGTCCACGGCCCCTGCTCAGGACAGGCTCTGGGATGGGTGCTGGGGAGCCAGCAGCAGCTACGCAGAAAGAGGCAGATCAGGCTTGTCACCCCTACTTTTGTAAAAAGAAATCTAGTATTGCTAGGTGTCCTGGGCTGTGTGCTTAGCGACTCACATATGTTCTGAAGCCCTCACAAAAGCCCTGAGAGGTAGAAATTATTTTATCTATTTTGTAGGAAGGATATTGAGGCTGAGCCAGCCGGCTTCGCATTGGCCCAAGGTCACATACAGCCATCACTCGAACCTCTCTCAGTCTGCTTCTTTCCGGTGTCTGTGCAGCTTAATCACTTCAGAATGGGAAGGAAACTGGGCCCAGGGAAGTTAAGCAACTTGCGCACTCACTCTGGCTAGTTGGTGTCGGGGCAGGGACAGAACTCAATTCCACTGTTTTCCCCAGTTCCTGGTGAGTGTTGTGTGCCTGGCACTGTGTGCCCCTGGCACTGTGTGTGGTAGAGATGCTGTTTCTTTTGTCTGTAACCTCCTCCCAATTCTGTTAACAAAAACAAAAACCATGCCCTGTCCTTAAAGCCTATAGGGTTCAAATGCCACCTCTTTGATGATACTTTCCCTGTAACAGCACTTGATAACTCTCATGGGACTTAGCAAGTAATTGTAATAAGAGGCATATATGTTGTTAGTTCAATATAGCAAATCTTTGTTGAGGGCCCACTATGTCCCACGTATGTCTGGAAGCTACTCTGTCTTCCTTGAGGACTGGAAGCAACCATATTTCTCTTTTCTTTCTCACTTTATGAGGTTCTTCTAAAAGCCTCTAGCGAATTAATGAACACTTGTGTGCCTGCCCTCTAGGAGTCTGCATTACACTTGGAGAAATATACTGAAACCTGTTAAGGGCTAACTTAGGTAAATTGAGAATATAAATGTAAGGAGATTTGGAAGGCAAACCAGTGGGCGGTACATGGGCAGTCTTTGGGGGCAGAAAGACCTTGAGCAATGCCTTGAAGAATGATTTGCATATGGCAAAAGCAGAGAAGATATTTCTGTGGCAGAAATGGGGTGAGCCCAGGACACCTGTTGGACATGAGGATTTGTTCTACATGTATAGAAGGAAGAAACGAACTGGGTAGAGTGAGTCCAGATTGTAGAAGGCTGTCAAAGCCAAGCTGGCAGACAGAAGAGTCACTATTAGTGTGGGAGGCCAAAGTAAATTACAGCAGGTTCTGGCCTGGTGATAACCATCTGCCCCAGACTGAGAGGAACATCGCCACTTCAGCTAAATACCAGGAGCTTTGTAGGAGCCTCGTAGTCCAACAGGGCACAGGTCTCTGACCTGTGGGATGGGAAGACGGCAGAGGAAATCAGAAGACTCACTCATCACAAGAAGCTTGTTTAAAAACTATTCAGCTAAGTTTGGGTTGTATTGTTAAAATCTCTAGTGCACAAAAAGAGGTCATCCCCCTTCAAGCAGTTATCCATGTTAGGGGCAGAGGCATTGGTGCTTCAATTTGTAAAGCAGCTTGCTGCCTAGATCTGGCCTTGGAGGCAAAAGCATTTAGTGCTATCACCAAAGTGTGTGACCTTGAGAAGTATCCCTAACCTCTAGATTTCAGGGTCACCCCTTCTGTAAGATGCATCTTTAAGGATATTTCTTATTATTAATCTGTTTCTTAGAGAAAAAGGCATCTGATCATTGTCAAAAATAATTCAATGATATTTAAATTTTTAAAAATTGATCCAGGCTAAGTACAGTGGTTCATGCCTGTAATCCCAGCCCTTTGGGAGGCCAAGGCAGGAAGATCACTTGAGGCCAGGAATTCAAGGCCAGCCTGGATAACAGCAAGACCCCAACTCCACCAAAAATCAAAATCAAAGTTAGCTGGATATGATGGCAGTCAGGAGGTTGAGATGGGAGGATCACTTGAGCCCGGGAGTTCAAGGTTATAGTGAGCTACGATGGCACCACTGTACTCTGACCTGGGCAACAGACCAAGACCCCATCTCAGAAAAATCCAAGAGAAGAAAGAAAAGAAAACCACCCAGACCGTAGGCCAGATATGAGAAGGGAAGGTTTCTCAATTTTTGCCTCTACTGAGCACTGAATAAATAAATAGTGGGTAGGAGGAGGGGACTGTTCATATTTTCAGCATTTCCCTCTCATTCTTTTCCTCTGGGAGATAGTGCATATAATGGTTAAGACCTAGGCTGTAGAATAGACTGACTTGGGTTCAAATTCAGCTCCATGCCTGACTTTGGAGTGTGACCTCTCTGAACTTCAGTATCTTCATCTATAAGACAAAAGTAATAGCTACCTCACTGGGTCAGGTGTGGTGGCTCACACCTATAATTCCTGGACTTGGGGAGGCCAAGGCTGGTGGATTGCTTGAGCCCAGGAGTTCAAAACCAGCCTTGGCAACATGGCAAAACCCTGTCGCTACAAAAAAAATTTTTTTTAATTATCCAGGCCTGGTGGAGAATGACTATAGTCCCAGCTACCTGGGGAGCTGAGGTGAGAGAATCACTTGGGCCCAGAAAGTCAAGACTGCAGTGAGACCTGTTCACCATTGCACTCCAGCACAGGTGACAGAGAAAGGCCCTATCTCAAAAAAAAAAAAAAAAAAACTGCCTCTCTGTTATGAGGATTAGACGAAAGACATCACATGATGCTGGGCATATGGCAACACAGTGAATACTGGACAGCTAATATACTTTGCAGAGCCACTATATAGCTTCACAGAGCTTCTATGTCCAGATTTCAATGACTTTCTTTCATCATTATTTCTTGGGGCTCCCAGGACCATATGTGGCTTACAAACCACAGGCTAGGATGTGCTTAATGTTAAAAACAGGCAGTGTGTTTCTCTGAAGTGTGGCTCCGCCATGGTGCTCGGTTACACCCAGAGGAGGAGGCTGGTGGGCAGTCATGGAAGCCCATCTTCCAGGGCAAGAAGGGACCAGCAGCTCTTCTTGGAGACTTCCATTCTCCTACTCCAGTTTCTGAACACAGCAGGCATCTAGGGGAGTTTCTCTTCTTTTTTTCTCCTCGTTTCGCCTTCTCTATCCCTTTTCCTCGCTGAAGTGTGTTGGATGGTCAGGAATGTGGGTGGAGAAGAGCGGGGAGCTGGAGACATCTCTTCCTTTCATCCAGCTTATGTAAAAATGCCTCTGAACTCCCTTGCACCACATGGACCATAAATTATAAGGTTGAGCTTTATAAGCCTGCAACCCTCTTGGCTTTCTGCATGTTGATTAGAATGCCTAAATAGAAAACCCCCATTAATGTTGATTGCCTCTTCTGTGTTCCAGGTTGGCAAGGCCTCCAGTGGCCAAGGAACGAGCCTGGATGCCCTGCAAACAGTATGTGTTAGGGATTGGGGGGGCATTCTTTTTAGTTTGGCTCTGGAGTGCTAGGACCACCTTTCCCAGCCTCAGGGGCGCACATCCTCAGGAGCTGCCTACCTCCAGATGTACCTCCACGCAGAAGAGGAAGGGCCCAGCTGGGGCACCTCTTGGTTGAGAAATGGGTATGCGACGTTGTCATGTGGGCACATTTTGATACTACTTTAAAAATAGGCCAAGCACAGTGGCTCACGCCTGTAATTCTAGCACTTTGGGAGGCCAAGGGGGCAGATCACCTGAGGTCAGGAGTTCAAAATCAGTCTGGCCAACATGGAGAAACCCCACCTCTACTAATAATATAAAAATTAGCTGGGTGTGGTAGCAAACACCTGTAATTCCAGCTACTCGGGAGGCTGAGGCAGGAGAGTCACTTGAATCTGGGAGGCAGAGGTTGCAGTGAGCCAAGATCACACCACAGCACTCCAGCCAGGGTGACAGAGTAAGACTCTGTCTCCATCAACTAACCAGTAAATGAATACATAAACACCTTTCTACTTGTTTTTGCAGTCCTGAGATATGTGCTCAGTAGCATCCCTGGCCTTCTAATGTGAACTTGAGGGATGGGTACAACCCAGAGGTGGCATGGGGGACAGGAGATAAGGAAGGCCTACTGTTCATATTACTCGCGAACATAACATGGTTTTACATTTTGATGCCACTTCATTAAATTGACTGTGTGATATGAGCTGACTTTCCACCCTCCTTTAAATTCTGGCTGACACATCCGTATCCTCAGGTGGTATCAGTTGATAATGCGCATGAACATATTTTGTAAACTACAAGGTGCTAAACAATTGTTTGCTTGTATCCCTCTCTGTGGGATCCAATTGTTTGCTTATATCACCTCTGTTTGGTGCTATACACAAAGCTGTGAAGTCTCAACAAGGATGCTGTGACTACGATGAGCACAAAATAAAGTCTTTTTGTTGTTATTTTTCTTTTTGAGATGGCATCTTGCTCTGTCGCCCAGGCTAGATGCTCAATCTCGGCTCACTGCAACCTCCACCTCCTGGGTTCAAGCGATTCTCCTGCCTCAGCCTCCCGAGCAGCTGAGATTACAGGCCTGTGCCACCACTCCTGGGTAATGTTTTTGTATTTTCAATAGAGATGGGTTTCACCATGTTGGCCAGGCTGGTGAACTCCTGTGATCCTCCCACATCAGCCTTCCAAAGTGCTGGCATTACAGGTGTGAGCCACTGCACCTGGCACAAAATAAAAGTCTGATAAAATAATATTAAAATTAATAGCTAAATGTTGTTGGGTCTTGATTATGTGTGGTCCTTGTACTAAGCACTCTGCATATTTTTTTAAATTTATTTTTTATTTCCCTAGGCTTTTGGGTAACAGATGGTGTTTGGTTACATGAATAAGTTCTTTAGTGGTGATTTCTGAGATTACGGTGCACAAATCATATCTTTTAAACTTCGCAACAACCCTGTGAAGGACTTACTCTTCTCCCCATTTTACAGATGATGAAACAGAAGAGAAGCATAGAACAGTTGGGAAACCTGTCCTAGTTCCCGCAGCTAATAAGTGATAGAACCAGGATTTGAACCCAGGTGGCCTGACTACAGAGCCTGAGCTCTTAGGCACCATTTAGCTGCTTAAAATCCTGGCAGGCCCACTCAGCGCTGAAATGGGTAAATAATGGTCACTGGGTGGCTAAGGATGGAGAAATCTTCATACCCAGAGCTGGAATGGAAATTAAACAGCTCAGTCCATGGTGCCTTAGCAGTCACTGAAGCTCATTCATTTTCAAGTTAATGAGTTAGAATTTTCACTCACCAACCAAAACTTCACTGGCCAAAGGGATCTGGAGCCTCCTCCAGCTGGCATGAGTGGTGTTATGTTGGTGGCCTGGACGGTGAGTGACTCTCAGTGTTCTATCTGGGAAGTCTTCATGTGCACAAGTTTTACTCCTATGGAAAAGAGGGACCTTGTTAAGATTGAGTGGCAGCCATCGATATAACCCTTGACGGACAGTGGTAACGCCCTTGCAGCTGAGAATTGGTTGGAACCCAAGTCCAAGGAAGCCAAGACCAGGGCTTCTGTGAGCTTGGCATCGTTATAGGGTTATAGTCTGTAGAATCAGGAAGAACTAGTTCAAATCTTGGCTCTTGCCACTTACGTGACCTTGAGCAAAATATTTCCCTTTAGTGAGTCCCAGTTTTATGGAAAATAACCATAGTACCTACTTTACGGACACAATATGAGCATAAAATGGATTTTCTCCTCCACCTCTGCTCACAGTCTTCCACATCCCAGCACAGGCCAGCTCCATCTGTTCAGTTGCTCAGGAATCATCCTTGATTTGTTTGTTTCTCTCACTCCTGTCCCATATTCAGTGCAGTATATTAGCAAATCCTGCTGGCTTTATCTTCAAAATATATCGAGCATCTCACACTTCTCATGACCTCCACAGCTACTCCACTGATCCCAGCCACCAGTAACTCACACTTGGGTTATGGAAATATGCTCAAGACTGACCTCTCGGCTTAAGTACGTGTCACCCTGTCTTGTGTTTTCAGCACAAAAGCCAGAGTGACTCCATTAAAATATAAGTCAGATCATGTTACACTTCTTTCCAAAACCCTCTGATGACATTCCAAGTCAGTCAGAGTAAGGGCCAGAGTTTTTACAATGATCTGGTTCCCCTGTTCTGCCCCCCTGCTGCATCTCTGATCTCATCCACTGTCACTCCCAGCTTTCATCTAGCCACACCAGCCTCCTTTTTGCTCCTCACAAGCCAGGTATGTCGCTACCTGGGGGCCTTCATAATTTTCTTCCTGGCCTTTCCCCCCCTGGTATCCACATGGGGCCTCCTTCCTTTCCTCAATTCAAATGTCACCTCAAGATGAGCCACCTTTTTTTTTTTTTTGAGACGGAGTCTTGCTCTGTCACCAGGCTGGAATGCAGTGGCACAATCTCGGCTCACTGCAACCTCTGCCTCCTGGGTTCCTGGGTTTAAGCGATTCTTCCGCCTCAGCCTCCCGAGTAGCTGGGACCACAGACACGTACCACCACACCTGGCTAATTTTTTTGTATTTTTAGTACAGATGGGGTTTCACCATGTTGACTAAGATGGTCTCGATCTCTTGACCTTGTGATCCGCCCGCCTCGGCCTCCTACAGTGCTGGGATTACAGGCATGGGCCACCGCACCCGGCTGAGATGAGCCTTCTTTAACCATCCTAAATAAAAATGGCAGCTGCCCAACCCCACAAAGTTCTTTCCCTGCTTTATGTTTCTCTCCACTATTTATTTTACTTTGACATACTACATATTTCTTTGTAGAATTTGACATACTACAAGGAAATACGCAGTATGTCAAAGAAAAATAAATGTCAATCCTTGTAGTATTGTAAATTCTCACTTGCGGAATTAGGTTAATGAGAAGTGACAGATGATGTGTCTGTCACTTCGCATTAACCTAATTCCGCAAGTGAGAATTTAATTTAGCTCACTCCTGTATCCTCTGTGCCCAGGAAAATGTCTGATGTATAGTAGGAGCTCAATAAATTTTATAAATAATCACATCATAAAAATCTAGGTAGGGCCTTCTTTTTTATAAGATAACCACAAGGAAGAAGACTGGAAACAGGGAACCCAGTGAGGAATGACCTCTGAAAGCTTCAGTATGATTAGGAGGAGGGTGGAGGTGATGTTAACGGTGGTTATAGTGGAGATGACAGTGCTGATGATGATGGTGCTGTGAGAATAATGATGGGATGGCAATGACGATGAAGACAGTCACCACTGTGATGTCAGTGAGAATTTGATCACTAACACCTTTTGGCTGCCGGGGAGCTGCAATGAGTGACACATGCCCCTTTGATCTTTAACATTTACTGATCACTTACTGTATGCCAACTATGCCAGGAGCTTTACATGCAATACCTCCTTTCATCCTCAGTAAATCTTTGATAGAGGCACCACAGTACTATTGATCTAGTTTGCTGATGAGGGTGGACAGCTTATTCAGAGTGACCCAACTTGAGAATGGTAGGGGACAGAGTAGAATCCAGGCAGTTAATGCTAAAGCTCACACTCTCAGCTAGCATACGAACAGATGAGAGATAAGAACAGGAAGCCTAGTGTAATGAAGTGACTAAGCCAGTACCATTCAGTCTTCAGATAAAATCCAGCTTCTTACTAAGCATCATGAATCTCCAACTGTGAAGGGGAAGGCAGGGTTATATCTCAACCTGACACTGGTAATTCACCTCTGCAATTGTTCCCTCTCACCACGCTGTTGATGGACATCCATCATCCCTTAGGTATGCTATAGGCAGGAAAAAAAATTACAAGGCGCCCTGCCTTAGCATGACATTAAAAAAAAAAAATACTTTCTCAATCCTCTCTCTAGTCTCATTTCTCCCTCCAGTCCCTTCCTACTATACATTTAGCCAGACAGAGCTTTCCTGCAATTGCCCTAATTTGCCTTATTCTCTTAGGAACTCGGCTTCCTTGACCCTTTTCTGCCTTCACCCCTAACCTGCATAAAGCGTCTCTTCTTGGTATATCTCCAGCTCCCGGATGGGTCATGACACTTAATCACAATGTATTGTAATTACCTACTGTCATCCACACTAGAACTTTCAGAGCAGAGACTGATCTGTTCCTTTTTTATCCCAACACTAGGCATTTTGCCTAGATTGTTGCCTAGATATATTGCATAGGCACTCAAAATATGATGGATGGATGGATGGATGGATGGATACTGTAAAGATACTATCTCCAAATGCAGTCACATTATTAGGTACCAGAGGGCTTCATCATAAGGAATTTGGGGCTATCCATTCACCAGCCCATAACTGGTGAATGGATAGATATGACATGACTTAGAATGCTAGGCTTCTGGAGGAGGTGGAGCAAGATGGTGGAACAGAAGCCTCCACTGATTGTCTTCCCCACAGGAACACCATATTTGGCAACTATCTATACACAAAACAGCAGCTCCATGGGAACACAAAACAGCACCTTCATAGGAACAAAAAATAAGGTGAGCACTCGCGATAGCTGGTTTTAACTTCATATTACTGAAAGAGGCACGGAAGAAGGTAGGAAAGTCAGTCTTGAATTGTTGACGCCACCTTTCCCTGTTCCACGGCAGTGCACTTGTGGTGCAGAGACAGAATCTGTGCACTTGCGGGAGGGACAGCACAGCAGTTAGGGAACTTTGCATTGGAAAACAGTGCTGCCAACACTGGGCAGAAATCAGCTGTCCTCCATGGAGGAAGCATAGAGACAAGCCCCAGTCAGAGGGGAATCGCCCGTCCCAGTGGTCAGAACCTGAGTCCCAGCAAGCTTTGCAACTATGGCCCAAGTGATCTGGGATTCAAAATAAACTTGAAAAGCAGTCTAGGCCACAAAGGCAGTAACTCCTAGGCAAGTAATAGTGCAGTGCTGGGCTCAGAGACAGTGGACTTGGGGGACACGTGACCTAGTAAGACACCAGCTGGGGCAGCTAAAGGAGTGCTTATATCACCCCTCCGCGAACCAGGCAGCACAGCTTGCAGCTCCAAAAGAGACAACTTCCTTCTGCTTGAGAAGAAAAGAGGGAAAAATAAAGATGGCTTTGTTTTGCAACTTGGATATCACCTCAGCCACAGTAGGATAGGGCACCAGTCAGAGTCATGAGGCACTCATTTCAGACTCTATCTCCCCATAACACACTCTGGGCCAGAAAGGAACCTGCTGCCTTGAAGGGAAAGACCCAGTGCTGGGAGGATTCATCACCTGCTGACTAAGGAGCCCTTGGACTCTGAATAATCAGCAGCGGTAACCAAGTAGTGCACACCATGGGCCTTGGGTGAGACAAAGAGACATGCTAGCTTCCGGAGTGACCCATCATATTCACAGTTGTGGTTTATATGAAGAGAGATGCCTTCTACTTGAGAAAAGAAGAGGGAAAAATAAATGGGACTTTGTCTTGCAGTTTAAGTACCAGCTCAGCCACGGTGGGGAAGAGCACCAAGCAGGCTCTTGGGGTCCCTGATTCTAGGCCTTGGCTCTTGGACAGCACTTCTGGACATACTCTGAGCCAGAGGGGAGCCCACTGCCCTGAAGGGTGAGTCCCAGGCCTGGCAGCATTCACCACAAGCTGACTGAGGAGCCCTGGGGCCTTGAGTGAAAAACAGTGGTGCCCTGGCAGTAATCCTCATGGGTCTGTGGTAATGGTGGACATGGGGAGAGACTTCTCTGCCTGGGGAAAGGGAGAGAAGAGTGGGAAGGATTTTGTCTTT